GTCACGTTATAACGCCCCACGCCTGAAAGGGCTAGCATATTTGGTGTGATGGGGATTCGAACCCGCGACCTGCTGATTGCGAGTCGAGCGCCCTAACCACCTGGCCATGCCGGGCCCACTTATTTTGAATAATAACAGTACAACACTAATTAATAGAACGTATTATTCATTATCAGCGGAAAGATGATTAAACCATACGTGAAAAAGAGACTTTAATGTATATAGTATAAAGTGTTAAAATGTAGAACTTGGTCAATTACAAACAAAAGTAATAGAACTGCATCCTTGAGGTCTGGAATTGTGCGAGACTTTCCACGAGACTTCACGTACCCTCACAACCGGAAATCGTCCGGTGTTAAATCTGGTGGACGAAATGGCCATTCACACACACACAAAAGATGATTTTCTCCTAATATTGTTCCGCAAGGCGTGCTTTACGTGGCTACCAATATGTCGAGAGGCAACATCCTGCATGAAAACTGTAATGTCTATCACATTTCGTTTATGTAGCATTTAAATCACATTGGTTGTGAGCATTGCATGGTACCGTGCAGTACTAACTTTCCAGGTTTGCAGTCTTCGTGCTGATAGTTATTTAATAAAAAAATTATACGGTCTAATAATAAACTCATCTGTGAAATCAAACCAAAATATCTCTGAAGCATCATAGAGATGTGTGGGAAATATTATAGAAAATGCAGTTCCACACGTTGGAACTTCCAAAAAAAGAGTGAAATGTGCTTCATCAGTCCATAAAAGTTTGTCAAGTCATTGATCATCGACTTCCAGTCTTGCCAAGAATTGATGCGCAAAATTAACACTTTGGGTTAAATGGAAATTCATTCAGTGCTTGAACATAATGCAACTTGTAAGGAAATGTTCGTAAAGTTAATCAAAGAGCCTTACGAACAGTTGAAATTGACAAATTTTGACAACATAACATGCACTACTACACCCACGTTCCCTAGTGTTGGTTTGTTCTCCTAAGGCATGGTTGATTTCAGTGATAGTTTTAGTAAGTGTCGGTGGTCTACCCGAACGTGGCTTTTCACAAGTGCAACCTTCATTTATACATCTACACGCACAGCAATACTGGAACAAAGCCCTCTATTGATACTATCCACTCTATGGACTCTAAGAGAAGTCTCGGCCATGCATCCTTGGTGTAACAATATTCCACTAGTCCTCCTCGCTACACAGTTTCAAGTTGGTTGAATTAGATTCACTTTAATCGACAGACCCATTTATACCCAGGATGAATATGCGAAAGAAACAAACATAGAGGCTTCCCTGGTGACAACTGTGGCATTACTATGAAACAAAAACATAGAGGCTTCCCTGGTGACAACTGTGGCATTACTATGAAACAAAAACATAGAGGCTTCCCTGGTGACAACTGTGGCATTACTATGAAACTAAAAAACATTAGAGGCTTTCCTGGTGACAACTGTGGCATAACTATCCATATGGTATTTCTAACCCTTTCTTTGCCACATCGTTTCTGAGATGTGACACGCTGAATTGTCTTTATAATCACTATATACTTAGGAATGTTCAGGTAATTTCAACTTTAATATTCCAGTGTGTACTTCATTCCAACATAATTGAAAGTTGTATGTACTTACAAACATTAATTCTTGTACCAGCATAATGGTTGTTCCTTTCCTAAAACCGACAGAGCCCAGGATATATCCACCGATAGAGGGACCTATAAAAGCTCTAAGAAAAGTAAAATAGAGTATTATTTTAGTACAAGGCAGTAGTAGATATGTAAAATAATAATCTAAAACACAGGTTCTCACCCCTCACCCACCCATCCTCACCAGAATACACACACACCCTCCTAAATGTATTTAGTAACTAAAGAAAGTCTCTCGGATCCTATACTCATCAGATCAGTATATCTGCAGTAACTTATCCTATATTTAAGTGTGATTGGCATAGATAATGGACAAGTTAATGAAATTTCCATTTTTTTTACCTATGATATGAAACTCGACATTTACAGTTGCGGACTATCTTTAGAATACTCACGATTTCTCACATTTAATGTATGCGAATATGTTTATTACACATCAAATGCTCGTCTTTTATTGAAATGCTAGGAGTTGGAAACAGAAAGGTCTTCTTCTTTAGTTACATTATGTTTAAAATTATTTTTCACATATTCATTGATTTTCACATCATTAAAAAAAGTACTCAAGCTTGTGTTTTAACCACCTAATTAAATGATAAATATTATGTTCAATCTTGCTTCCAGTGACGCTTATTCACCTAAGTTGTTATAGAGGCAGATATTTTTCTAAGGATTATTCGAAATGGTTTGTCATCTCAGTTTTATGTGAATATTGCTGTATAAATCATGAAGATATATGGTATTTTTTTATTTTTTGCGCAAAGCTACGTAATAGACTATTTGTGCTCTCTGTTTACCGGAGGGAATCAAACCATAAATTTTAGCGTTCGAAGTCTGTAAACTTACCGGTGACCCATAGGGAGACTATAAGATGTATGAGGTACAATGTTGATATTGAACCTAAACAGCAATACGTAAAACTGTTATGATCACAATCCAATATTCAGTATTCTTGTAAACCACGAATTTTCAACACTGAAGTAGGGTCAAATGATTGAATAAATAGAAGTTTATAGTGAATGTTAATGACAGTGTCAGCTTTCCGATAACGAACCCAGAATCTTGATGTAGAAACATTTTCCATATACTCAGTAAGATTCTAGTGTATTTGAATAGTATTTTCTTCCATTGTTTGCTTTCTCTTTAAATATTCGTTTTCTAGCTATGACCCATTGACCTAAGCTGGAAACCCCCTCTAGATGTAGGCACGGCCGGATTTTGACCCTTTGAGACCATATACCGCGACACTAGAGGCCTTTTCTTAGAGTGATTCAAACTTGACGCCCCCTTCATAGGAGGATTGAGGCGCCCATGCAATTGCATGGGTTGCACCCCCCTCTAAATCCGGCACTAGATGTGGGTCATGTTTTGTAAATCCGGCACTAGATGTGGGTCATGTTTTGTGAAATATGGAGGTGTCCTTTGGAGACTCTAGGCAAGCGAAGACTTATATACTTCAAGGAATTTTCAGCACCAATGTAAAAGATGTATTTGTGGTTAACTTTGATAATTTCGGCGCTAAAAGTCTATGAAAAAAAAGATGTTGTCAGCGAGAATACTTAAAGTTTCCACAATATCTGTGTAATCACGTAAGTTTGTCCATCAGTGGTGTATAAATGCTTGGAATAAAGGCATTCCACCTCTTCACAAAACAAATATCTCAAGTTTTACCTCGGCATGTCTTCAGACATGGGTGAGCTAAATAATTACCAGATTTCCGTTAGAACAAGTCACGAAGTTTTCATCATTTCGGTAACACACTGTACGCCTTCCAACTTGGCGTGGAACCAGTCACAAAATTTAGATCATACGAATCTTATCTGATACACCAATGTTTTATATATATATATAAATGTAGCTCAATTCGATATTGGCTTCAATGTTCATACCGAATTCTAAACGGGCCTACTTTCACTCTCACATCGTAATGCTTAACATACAGTCGAATGCGATTCGAGTGGTGTATTCAGTCGTTTCAAAAACACTCTTGCTAATAAACTATCGTTAATTGCTGATCATTATTTGTAAAAAAAAAAAAAGTTTTGTTTAGCCTTACATGAACCTGAGAATGTACGTCTTTAAAATTCCTGCTTCTTTTCCATTGTGGAACATTGGGATTACCGAGTGAGATCACTTTACCTTAATTTACCCAAATATTTTAGCCCATTCACTAACTTACCATACAACTTTGCATGGAGTAACTATAGCATCCTCTTTACAACTTTCACGTGCTGAAATCACTCCTTTTTTCTGGATAATTTTCTTATTCGATCCTTTATTTTTAGATATATATATATAACAAAAGAGGGAAAAACACCCTTAACACATCCTAAAATTAAATGTAGATAGTAATAGTTTAGTGACTGTCGTTTCGCTTAAGGTTGGTAATGTGTGAAATTTATTCATTTTCTCACGTTTGTTGTACAAATTACCAGGGGAATGCAGCCAATTAGCACTACTCTACTACACCCACCCACTCCCCCAATCCATGCTGCCTATTTCATAAGGCACCCATAGCGTAAAGTGCGGGGAATATTTTGTGGAATTGAACGGATTCCAACTTTGATCCCCAGATCTGGAAGCTAGAGCTCTATCACAGGGCCAACTCACGAACAAACAAATTTATTAATATTAGATATAATAGTATGGGATGTAAGATAACAAAATTATTCAACCAGGAATAAAATATTTCAAGAAATTTGGAGTAAAATACTTTTAAAGTATTCCAGCTCAATTTTTCCAGTATTTAATAATCTTAGAGTTAATAACATACTGTTGCCTCATGCAATGTTGGGAGCAAGTGTTGTTGATCATTATTTAATTTCTGTAGTGCATATTTGTGTATAGAAGACATATTAATACTAGAAATATACCACCTTATTACAAAATGTTGTTTTTATTCAATTAGACACTCAAGGTTTCGCTTTACAGCTTCTTCAGGAGCATTCACTAAAACACAAACCGAAACTGACAGTGCAGAGCTTCAAAATGAGGTCGTTTCTTTCTAGTACTAATGAGTATTGTTGATGAAAATGTTACTCATTTAAATTGCAATATGAAATTTTTATATGTATAAATAATATTTACAAATTGCGTTGTAGGGAAACCCATTAACGAAGTTTACAAAGATTCTGAGCACAGAAATAAAGTTAACTTCAATGTTGTTTCTTGTAGCAGGCTTTTCTTTTAGCGCAAAGCTATACAATGGACTATCTGCGCTCTGCCCATCATGGAGAATCGAACCTAAGATTTTAACGTTGTAAGTAAGTCTGTAAACTTACATCTTACCTATCGGGAAATAAGTTAATCCCCCCACTTCGAAAAAAAAATGCTGTAGATAACAACGATGTTTGTTTGCTACACAAAGGGCTATCTGTGCTCTGTCCACTACGGGTATCGAAACCCGGTTTCTAGCAGTATAAGTCCTCAGACATATCACTGTGCCACTATACAACATTCGGACAAAACTGGAAGCGGAAATTCGAAAAGAGTAAGACCAAACGTGAGATTTCATATCATTATATCAAGCGTTCCATTAGAACTGGGGTGTATTAATAGTAACATTTCCACTAATAAAAAACATGACTTACGTATTTTGTGTTGACTTGTAATGATGGAACTGAACAACACGAAAAAGAAAAACAAGGACCGTATTTTGGAGGAGTAAATTTAAAAAGAAAAAGTAGTTGCCCATCGCGTCATGCTCCCGGTAGTTCAGTGGTAGGTCTGAGGTGTTGTAACGTTAAAAATTGGGCTTCGAAACCCGCGGTGGACAGAGCACGGATAACACATTTTGCATCTTTGAGCTTAACAACAAACAAACCATCTTATCATTCAGAACTGTTTAAAATAAAAGGCAATTTTTTTAAATAATCCTGAGGATGACGTTGTAACGTCGAAACATGTAGAGTCGTCAAATTTTGGAAGGCCATAGATAGGCCTAAATAAAATGTTTTTAATTGTGTACCAGTTTAACGTTGAATATTAGTTATGATTTTAACAACTTCCTTTCTTTGAACTGGTAAAATATTCGAATTCTATTTATTTTTACTCAATTGGCCAAAAAGCTAAACCAGCTTATTCTCTCGTTGTTTGATCCTTGTTACAGAAATAAAAATCCGTTTTTTTTAGATATTTAGGCATATTGGAGAACCTTAGAATCATTTATGTGATAAAATAATTTATTGCTCATGCTTACTATTAAAGCGATATTTCGAACCTAATCTAAAAAATACCATTTTCTGAGCACCCCCGTTTTCCTTTGTCCCTGAATTCAGAGTCAGAGGAATTAAACCGAAATCCTTACCAAGTTAAATAAATATAATTTTATATTGTCATATTGCAAATAATAATAGTAAAATAAACTCCTGGATATGATGGTTTTAGTTTGACATCATAATTATCCGTAAATTTCCCTTATCTCTTACTTTTATTTACTTCAATGTGAACAACACAAATCTAGTCGGTTATAATTTACTGAGGGTTAATTACAGTTTATAGGTCCGAGACATGGCGCCAATAACGACACCTATATGTATATACTCAGTTCACAATGAATCCCCAACCATTCAACTGTGTAATGCTATCTGATTGCGTCACAATAATAATAAAAAAAGCCGTCAATCTACTCCATAGAAATATAAAAACTGAAAAAGCAGAGCGTTTAGGACAGCAACAGGTTACAGCATTATACTCTTATCAGGACTAACACGCTTATTCGCAAAGTGAAGGCTATATTTCAGAAGAAAAATTTCTCACTTAAAATGCTTTGCAACAAAGCTGGACATATTCATTGATACAAGATAATGAGTAAGGAATATGGATTAACGAAGGTAAACAAGATTCTAACCAAATCTGGATATTAACGGCTGTTTTCACGAGAAAATGCCGAAAATTACAGCAGCCCTACTCTATCACATAAATGTCAAGTATCTAGATGTAACTCCAGTATACTTTAGTCTATTAAGACATGGTCTTAGAAGCCAACGTCTACGTTTTTACTGCTATCTAAAATTACAGCAGCCCTACTCTATCATATAAATGTCAAGTATCCAGATGTAACTCCAGAGGACTTTAGTCTATTAAGACATGGTCTTAGAAGCCAACGTCTACGTTTGTACTGCTATCTAAAATTAACCTCTCAGTCCTTTACAGAAGTTAATTACAATAGACTTTGCAGTTTCAAGCAAGAATGGGTAATCAGAGCGGTTCAGAGTATCTCCAAGGGTAACAAGAGATCTCAATCATTACTTTAATGAAGTGTGATTAACCTTCACTATTACTAAGCTATCATATGATGAGAAACGTTATCATAAGCTATTGTACAGCTTTCTAAAACATTGTGAACAGCCTAAAACTACACTACAGCTTAAAATAGTGTTCACCACTTCGTAAGTATAAGAAATATTTCTATATCTTCAACCGCAATAAAATTGGTTTTAGTTTTTTGCATTAAGATACAGACCCGACACAGCTATATCCTGAATTCGTTAAAAAGCCTCTAACTAATTCAAAAATTTATTCAAAAGTCTCTAATTTAATTTAATAAAATTCCCTAAAACTTTACTTCAGCCAATCAACAACTAACACTACATTCTTTGCTGGTATGAAACAATGCAAATAAAGTACATAGTAAGAGTCTCAACTATATCAACAGAACCAATCACGTTAATACGATTTTATTTTCAGTAATAAAATTATTCGGAAGATTGTTATTGGTCGATACATCTTTAGATGACCAATCAGGGTCTGAATATATTTAATTTTTAACTATTTACAGAACTTAGAAACAAACATGATGAGCCATGTATTCTTATTTTAATTGGTACGATTATTTAAGGAATCATGCATGAAGTCACCCATTTGATCCTCAGAACTAGTCACGTGGCTTTTTTTTTGTTAATTAAAAAGACAGTTTAAGCATTTGCGCCAATTAGAATTTTATAAACAGCTCAAAATAGGTTTCTATTACATCACAAATATTTCATCTATATGACTTCCTGTAGAACCAAAGATATTATCAAACAAATGTTTCATCTACAGGTTCATCTAAGCCAATCATGTTATTCAATAGATGTTTAACACCTGCCTGTAGGGCCAATTCCATTAACCGACGAATATTTCATCTACAGGCTTATCTGAGAGGCCATTCATATTATTCAATAGATATTTAACCTTCAGGTCTACCTGCCTGTAGGGCTAATCCCATTAACCGACGAATATTTCGTTCTGTAGATATATTTTTTGGACCAAGCACAAGGACAACGTTAGTATTTGATGTTAGGATCAATCGCCTGTATCTTCTGTACGACCAACACTTCAAAAGAAAGAAGACTAAACAACCTATTGGCTCACCTCAAGTCTTCATTAAACTTTTGAAGCATTATAAAATCAAGTCCAGAACTAGGCACTTGTTTTGAGTTAGGCTAATAAGATCAGTAGGTTGTTTTCTTTTTCTCTTCTGTTGCATTCGTTAAATTACAACTACGGAAAGAGATATCCTTAGCATATAGTGGTTCTGTTCATAACGTGATTACTATGTCCTATAATATTTTTATACAAATGGCTTAAAGCGCTTTTGCTATTTCAATAAGTTAGTAAAATTACAAACTAAAGATGTGTAAGTGCCATCAACCATGTTGGGAACACTCGAGGTCCCTCAGCCACATGTTCTTCATGATTTACTTGAGCTTCTAATCCTCCCTCTCCCAGTTGACCGTCAGCCTCCTAAGAAAGAAGTCAATTAGATACAAAAACAGAAATGCAATTCTACATCCTCGCACAAAAGGATATGCAAAGGAGTTATACTAGTGGAACTGTTTCCATTTTTAACTATTCTTCTCCTTTCATACACCCATATTTCGTGTCAGGGCTATTTTTACAATGTGAAGAAGTTACATTTAATTGTACTTACAACAACTGTATATAAAATTTATACATGTCGCTATAGCTTAGTCGTATCATTTTTTTAATGGTAACAATGTGTCATGGCTGACTATAATTATTTTTACACCTTTATTTTAAAAGCTGGTAGTTGGTAACCTGATGTAATCCAGTTATCTTAGTTTCAATACGAAATATGACTCCTTCTTACCACTCGTTAATTTGCAGTAAAATTGACTAATCTTTTTTTTAATCAATATATAGGTTTATTTTTAATATAATGAATTATCTTGAAGAGTACTAACTAAAGATAGATAAAATCCTCACCCCAAAGCTTCTGAAGACGTGTATAGCGCAGACACCATGCCATAAGTGGACAGATCATCGGGATATCCTCTTCTCCTAAGATATCAAAAAATGAAGATAGCTTGGGATGCCTTATTAGCATTATTCAAACCAAATAACAGTCTATATTTTCCCAAAGATATTTCATGGATAGACGTTTGCAATTCAAATGATCTTTTTTCAATCGGACAGATAAACTGAGAAAAAAATGGCATTTCTAACGATAACAATTGTAAGAATACAATAAATCAAGGACGTTTCTGGCCATAAACTATTATAAGAACAAAATAAATCAAAGCCATTTCTGACTATAGTGATTGTCAGAATACAAGAAATTAAAGGCGAGAAACAATAATAAGGATATAATAAATTGTTTGGTTGTTGGTTGCTTGTAGTTAAGCACAAAGCTACACAATGGGTTATCTGTGCTCTATCCACCACGAGTATCGAAATCCGATTTCTAGCAATGTAAGTTCACAGACATACCGCATTGGGCAGCGATATAATTAATTAAAGACTTTCGGCTATAATTATAATAATAATTCAATAAATCAAAGGGAATTTCTGACTATAAAAACAACAAGGATTGAAAACATCAAAGGGAATTTCTGGTGATAATAAGGATTGGTAATCATGCTCAGTTTTAAGTTAATAATTTCTTTACGTTCGGTTAAGAATATGTGAAATTCAAGACTTTATTGTTTGTTTGTAATTATGCACAAAGCTACAAAAAGGGCTATCTGTACTCTGCCCACCGCGGGTATCGAAACCCGGTTTCTAGCGTTATAAAGTCCGCAGACATTCCGCTGTGCCACTGGGGGGGGGGGGCAAATTCAAGACTAGAAAATCCACCTGATAGAAGTTCACTACTCCATCACCAACTTTGGGAGACAAAAGAGTAACAATATAAATTAACATATTGGCATTAATTTGCCCAAATGCATTATATTCTTATTTTTAAAGCTATGACAAGCTAGAAATGAAATTGACACAAGTATGTCAGAGAGAAATGTTTACTTACAGTGCATTCTTCAAGGCACTGCCAAAGGGAGCAACACATTTACAGCCATTCCCGAGCCCCAAAAGTACTTGAGCCAATACAATCAACCACAACTGCCTATAAAATAAAAAGCGGAGGAAAGGTTCTTTAAGAAAAAAAGTGGAAAAAAATCAACTTTGTGATTTTTTAACAACATCTGAATGATAAAATAAAATAATGAAACAGTTGACAGACCGTTCGTTTGTAAACCTTTATAGTGGTTGCTGTAAATTATACAAATCGAAAACAAATCAAGAACTTACGAATTAGGCCTAGAATGTCAATGCTTCGACATTGTTTTATTAGTTCATATTGTCACGTATCTGCTCGTCTGTTAATTTCCGGTATAAATTCTTTCCGAAGAACTTC